ATGTCATAGTATAATAAGGCATAAAAACATCATAAAATGATATAGCATTGTAAGGCATAGTATAGTAAGGCATAAAAATGTCAAAAAATGTCATAGTATAATAAGGCATAAAAACATCATAAAATGATATAGCATTGTAAGGCATAGTATAGTAAGGCATAAAAATGTCAAAAAATGTCATAGTATAATAAGGCATAAAAACATCATAAAATGATATAGCATTGTAAGGCATAGTATAGTAAGGCATAAAAATGTCAAAAAATGTCATAGTATAATAAGGCATAAAAACATCATAAAATGATATAGCATTGTAAGGCATAGTATAGTAAGGCATAAAAATGTCAAAAAATGTCATAGTATAATAAGGCATAAAAACATCATAAAATGATATAGCATTGTAAGGCATAGTATAGTAAGGCATAAAAATGTCAAAAAATGTCATAGTATAATAAGGCATAAAAACATCATAAAATGATATAGCATTGTAAGGCATAGTATAGTAAGGCATAAAAATGTCAAAAAATGTCATAGTATAATAAGGCATAAAAACATCATAAAATGATATAGCATTGTAAGGCATAGTATAGTAAGGCATAAAAATGTCAAAAAATGTCATAGTATAATAAGGCATAAAAACATCATAAAATGATATAGCATTGTAAGGCATAGTATAGTAAGGCATAAAAATGTCAAAAAATGTCATAGTATAATAAGGCATAAAAACATCATAAAATGATATAGCATTGTAAGGCATAGTATAGTAAGGCATAAAAATGTCAAAAAATGTCATAGTATAATAAGGCATAAAAACATCATAAAATGATATAGCATTGTAAGGCATAGTATAGTAAGGCATAAAAATGTCAAAAAATGTCATAGTATAATAAGGCATAAAAACATCATAAAATGATATAGCATTGTAAGGCATAGTATAGTAAGGCATAAAAATGTCAAAAAATGTCATAGTATAATAAGGCATAAAAACATCATAAAATGATATAGCATTGTAAGGCATAGTATAGTAAGGCATAAAAATGTCAAAAAATGTCATAGTATAATAAGGCATAAAAACATCATAAAATGATATAGCATTGTAAGGCATAGTATAGTAAGGCATAAAAATGTCAAAAAATGTCATAGTATAATAAGGCATAAAAACATCATAAAATGATATAGCATTGTAAGGCATAGTATAGTAAGGCATAAAAATGTCAAAAAATGTCATAGTATAATAAGGCATAAAAACATCATAAAATGATATAGCATTGTAAGGCATAGTATAGTAAGGCATAAAAATGTCAAAAAATGTCATAGTATAATAAGGCATAAAAACATCATAAAATGATATAGCATTGTAAGGCATAGTATAGTAAGGCATAAAAATGTCAAAAAATGTCATAGTATAATAAGGCATAAAAACATCATAAAATGATATAGCATTGTAAGGCATAGTATAGTAAGGCATAAAAATGTCAAAAAATGTCATAGTATAATAAGGCATAAAAACATCATAAAATGATATAGCATTGTAAGGCATAGTATAGTAAGGCATAAAAATGTCAAAAAATGTCATAGTATAATAAGGCATAAAAACATCATAAAATGATATAGCATTGTAAGGCATAGTATAGTAAGGCATAAAAATGTCAAAAAACGTCATAGTATAGTAAGGCATAAAAATGTCAAAAAACTTCATAGTATAGTAAGGCATGAAAATGTCAAAAAATCTTTATAGTATAATAGGGCATAAAAACGTCATAATCTTTCATAGCATTGTAAGGCATAGTATAGTAAGACATAAAAACATCAAAAAATGTCATAGTATAGTAATGCATAAAATCGTGAAAAAACGGCATAGTATAGTAAGGCATAGAAATGTCAAAAAACTTCATAGTATAATAAGGCATAAAAACATCATAAACTTTCATGGCATTGTAAGGCATAGTATAGTAAGGCATAAAAATGTCAAAAAACGGCATAGTATAATAAGGCATAAAACTGTCAAAAAACGTCATAGTATAGTAAGGCATAAATATGTCAAAAAATGTCATATTATAATAAGGCATAAAAACATCACAAACTTTCATAGCATTGTAAGGTATAGTATAGTAAGAACTAAAAACGTCAAAAAACGACATAGTATAGTAAAGGATAAAAATGTCAAAAAACGACATATATTGTATATATTGTAAGGCATAAAAATTTAAAAAAAACATCATAGTATAATTAGGCATAAAAACATCATTAAATGTCATAGCATCGTAAGGCACAGTATAGTAAGGCATAAAAATGTCAAAAAACTTCATAGTATAATAAGGCATTGAAACATCATGAACGTTCATAGCATTGTAAGGCATAGTATAGTAAGGCATAAAAACATCATAAAATGTCATAGCATTGTAAGGCATAGTATAGTAATGCATAAAAATGTCAAAAAAACGGCATAGTATAGTAAGGCATAAAAATTTTAAAAACTTCATAGCATTGTAAGGCATAGTATAGTAAGACATAAAAATGTCAAAAAACGTATTATAGTAAGGCATAAAAACATCATAAAATGTTATAGCATCATAAGGCATAAAAACATCATAAAATGTCATAGCATTGTAAGGCATAGTATAGTAAGGCATAAAAATGTCAAAAAACGTCATAGTATAATAAGGCATAAGAACATCATAAACGTTCATAGCATTGTAAGGCATAGTATAGTAAGGCATAAAAATTTCAAAAAACTTCATAGTATAATAAGGCATAAAAACATCATAAACTTTCATAGCATTGTAAGGCATAGTAAGTAAGGCATAAAAATGTCAAAAAACGGCATAGTATAGTAAGGCACAAAAATGTCAAAATACGTCATAGTATTGTAATGCATAAATACGTCATAGTATTGTAAGGCATAAAAACGTCATAGTATAGTAAGGCATAAAAACATCAAAAAAACTTCATAGTATAGTAAGGCATAAAAATATAAAAATACATCATAGTATAGTAAGGCGTAAAAACGCCAAAAAACATCACAGCATTGTAAGGCATAAAAATGTCATAGTATAGTAAGGCATAAAAGCATGTAAAAAAAAATCATAGTACAGTAAGTCATAAAAACGTCATAAAAACGTCATAGTAATGTAAGGCATAAAAACATCAAAAAAAACTTAATAGTATAGTAAGCCATAAAAACATAAAAAAACTTCATAGTATAGTATGGCTTAAAAACATAAAAAAAAACTTCATAGTAATGCATGAAAACATCAAAAATGTCATAGTATATTAAATCATAAAAATGTCAAAAAACATCATAGTATAGCAAGGCATAAAAACGTCATAGTATATTAAGGCATAAAAATAATTAAAAAACATCATCATTTAGTAAGACAAAATGTTAAAAAATGTCACAGCATAGTAAGGCATGAAAACATAAAAAACATCACAGTATAGTAAGACATAAAAACGTCAAAAGTCTTAGTATAGTATGGCATAAAAACTCCAAAAACATCTTAGTATAGTAATGCATAAAAATGTATATTGGTTTTATTACATAACAGACACTTTAAACACTTTAGTGATGAGTGAGGAATAGAAATAGGAATAGATAGGTATAAAGCGGCGGTGCGTCATGTAGTCATGTATAACTACAACAATGCCAACAAGGGATCTCCCACATTGCCCAGAATGCAACCTGCTGAGAGCCTGAGCTTAATGGATTTCAGCTGTGGGTGATGCATTATCTTACAGCAGGGGATGAAGTTCAAATCATCAAGAAAAAGAAAATCATTGCTGTTTCTCAAATACCAGCCTGTCCTGAGGCACTTAGAAAGTTGTGTCTGCCTCTTGACATTTATTAAGCAGAAGTTTTTCACACAACCTTCATAAGAACAATAGCTAAATATCTTCAAAAATTGTAGGTGTATCACTTTCAAACAAAGAAAAGAGCTTGTTCACTATCTGTTGAAAGATGGATTTCTCTGTATGATTCATGAATGTTGGTACCGACACACTGCTGCTCATGGTTTAAGTCTGTGGGAAAAATCCTGTGGTGGCATCACAATATCAACAAAAGTTGTTTTAAGTGAGTAAGTATTATAGTACAAGTCAATGCTAAGTCTTGTGAGAAAGGAAAAACTAATGCAAGAGAACATTTAACAATGAGAAAATAAAAGCTACACATACAGTAAGTGTTTTATCGCCAGTTATACAGCTCGTTAACAGTTTGCAGCATAACTAGATTATTGCTGATTAAATGCATTTGAATATGTTGAAGTAATTTGAATTCCACTCGATAGAAAGTGATAAACATTTCAATTCAAGCAGTTTTATTGACATAACCATATTCAGATACAGTATTGACAAAGTGTACATGTAAATACTGACAAACTTTCTAAAGTGTGAAGTTCCACTGATCATGGTATGAATGCCAAATATAATGCTGAAATCCCAGCAGCCCTTTGATTTTACAATAAGAACATGTGAGGTTTTTGTGGTTTCACACTGACACTGTGGATTCAGAGGTTTCTCAGTGCCAAAGTATGCAGGCTAAGGTGTCTAAAAATCACACTCCCTCTGGTTAAATTACTGTGTCAATACCCAACGTGCTCAAACTCTAATCTCCTAGCAAATACCTTTAGTAGGAGTGTGCGCACACATTTTAGAACAGAGTCAGAAAGAGGCTTTGATATAAACGAAATTGTTTAAAAGGACAGGCCAGGTCGCTCTTGTCTTTAAAGAGGAGGAAAAATCATTTTAGTATGATCACGACGGGAAAACAAATGACTTTAAATGAAATTGCACAGAGGGAACAATGAGTTTTATTCATGTCTCATTAATGTTTTGCTCTTGTGCAGTATTTTCTTAAAAAGCAAGTCATCACTGTAGTGACTCTCTTTCAGATCGACAAATCACAGAGCAACATTAAAAAATAGTATTTATTGAGGAGTGGAGCCATTCTTAACAATGGGAATTTTTGCTTCAAAGGTTTTCACTCTATGTAAAACTATTTTTTTGGAATAGATAAAACTTTTTCAAAGCACCAAGCATGTATAAAGTCTATAATAAGCTAAGAATTGATGTGACAGCACAGAGAACCAACTCTTTTTTCTGCCTCAGCAATCATAATCCTGCACCATAGTAAAAAAGAACGTGCAAAAGCTCGACCAGGAGTCGTCGCAGTACTCCTCTGCCAGCTTCTTGTTTCCAGGTTGACAGGATTTGGCAGGTCTGGGTGCAGGGGGTGGAGGGTAAGGCAGGGCCGTCTTTCTCTGTGCATTATGAAATCTGAAATGAGCATCTCTGGCAGCTCTCTTGCACATACCTGCCCTGATCAGCGCACTATTTTCCTGGCACAGATTCCTCTGCTTCTTTAGCGCCCTGGCGATTTGCTTCCAGTAAAGTTTGACATTAGAAGTATATTGGGGACAGAGAGATGGTTTGGCAACATATTCACAGCTGAAGCTCCTATGCCCCTTCTTGCAAGAGACGCTGAGGATGTAGAGATCGTCACCTGTCGCAGCCCACGTGCACTGAGATTTATCTTTGGTGACCAGTTTTCCCTTAATGGGCTGTGCAGAGACAGTTTTGGGTTGGCGTCCAGCCTTTAGTCCTGACCTTTCCTTGTGTTGTCCTCTGTCCACACCTTGTCCCCTCCGCCCATTACCCTTCTGACAGCTGCCCAACATCAGCTGATGGGAAATGCAAGCCAGAACCAAAAGGATGGTGATATTGGTGAAGAAAGCCATGAAACCAACACAAAAGACCCTGCAAGAGGATAAATTTGGATTAAGATATTTGAACTCTAATCCCTTTCATTTTCCTTCTTACAAAGAATCATTTTAATCCCCTATTAAACCTGTGTTTTAGAAGGAAACATACAGAAACATTTTGAGATACAATTCAGAGTGATTCACATAAGACATGAATAGGCATTAAGAAAAGTTATAAAAGAGGCAATATAAAAACTCATAAATATATTTGGATTTTAAAAGAATGAATTTGAATAAAAATGAATAAATCAGAAGGAACAGCAGAATAAAACGTTACAGTGCAATAAGAGATATGAATGAATAGACCCAAATTGAATTCAATAAAGGGCAGTGGCAGACAAAGTTTTAATCCTTTATTTAAGAGGTAGACTGGGATGGCATCATCAGAGAAAAAGGTGACATGAATATAGTGATAGCATAGGAAGTAAAGAAAATACTTTACTACTATGCATAATAAATAAGTACAATTTAAATTTGAAAAGTACCATATACAGCAGTGGAAAAAGTGTTCAGATCCTTTACATATGTGGAAGTTGAATTTTGAATTACTTTGACCTGTCGATGTGTTGTCACTTTTATGTTATTTGTACTTGACTGGTTAGTACAACAGAAAAGCACTGTGTCATATTTTATAAGATCATCATATGTCTTGCTTGTAAAATCTTAATCTGAAAAGTAATTAGTAACTAAATCTGTCAAATAAATGTAGTGTGGTAAAAAGAACAATATTTCTCTCTAGTGGAAGTATAAAGTGAGTAGCAATAAAATAAAAAATACTCAAGTACAAGTACCTCAAAATTGTACTTAAGGACAGTGCAAGAGTAAATGTACTGTACAGGACATTTTAACTCACTGTAGGATTATTACAGGAACATTATTTATTACAAAAGGACCTACTGATGTAAGTGAAGTCACTGTTGAGAGAGCCACTACACCCGAGCCCTGATACTGTGCTAATACCAAAGTGAGTAGTAACCAGGTATCGTTACAGAGTGACACTAAAACACTTACCTGAACTTTTGAGAGTAAACTTCAGTTTGCAGCAGTGACACCTCAGAACTGAGAGAGCGTCCTTTACCTGCAGCTACATAATGCTGCTGCAGAATCAGCCCTCCCCTTCACACACACACACACACACACACACACACACTACATGACTGAAGGGCTTAAAAAGTTTTTTGAGTTCAGATTAGTAAACCAATGAAGGGTTAGACTTTCAGGGATGTTTTGAGTCGGATTACTGCTTGTGAAATAATTTCTTTTAAAATTCTAATTAAGCTTTTAAAGACCTCAAAAGTTATTATTGCCATAAAAAAGTAGGAGCTTGTAATGCAGTTTTTTAAACATGTTAAATTGTAATCTGCATAACAAACAGCACAGTGAAATTATTTCACTTAGACAAAGACTACTCTTCCTCACCGTTTCATGCACTTTAACCAGTTATTTCTCTCCTACTTAGCACTTAGTCAAATTTGATTAAAATTTAGGAAAGGGCAAATACATAAAACATGCATCTCTGTATTAAGTGATGAATGCTTACCAGAGTTATGTTGAAGTATCAGGACTAAACATAATCTGTTGTGGCAGATTGTGTTGCCTGCTGCAAGAAGTCCCACCTGCTTTATGATAACTTTTATTCTAAACAAAGGCAAATAAATCTGGGTCTTTTAAGACCTTCACTTGAGCATCTGGCGCTACAGTTTATCAAAAACAAAATGACTTTAAATATCTTGAAACAAGCCAGATGTCCCTGCAGGGGAAAATCACAGACTGAACTCAGACGTCTCTGAAACTAAAGCAACAGGGACACCTAAAGGTCAAACACAGTACAGCAGGTGATTCTTCCAGCTTCAGAAAACATACGTAACCATTTTACTGTCAAATTTTCACCAGATTTAATACATGTTACATGTTTACTGTAGGAGTATTACAGTTGTTTCTCATTAGGAGAGATCAATATTTAATAATAACGTTTTCACATTCATTATATCTGAATACACCAGTACAGAAATCACTGCTGTTTTAGACAAAAATTACAACCTTGGTCCTTCCCAACACTGTAATATTCAAGGTAATATTAAGTGAGGCAAGTAGATTATATGCAAACATGAATACAAATAAGTGACACAAGTGGGTTTTTGTGATCCCTATATTTTTGAAAATGCAGCATCTGCAGAAATATTCTCACAAGTGAAAGTACTTGTGCCATTTTAAACATGTGTTTCATGCAGAAATGATAATAATTACATTATCAAGTATCAGGTAGTGACGTTCTTCCATCTTTGAAAGGATGTTTGGCCAAGTATTTCACATTAGACCGGCTCTCAGTGGATGATAATGTGTGCAAGTTTCAGTGAGGAGGGGTTTGTTTGAAAGTCACTGCAGTACCGTCCCTTCCCCTGAAGAGAGCGCTGCCGTTCTTCTACCGCAGTTTCTCTCCAAGGCTTGTCAGAAGTTATCCTCGTCAGAATTGTACATCTGTGAATATGACAGAAAAAAGAAAAGACAAAAGTTTGAATTTTGCAAATGAATTCTGGAAACAAACATGATTCAAATACCCTCCTTTCCACCTCAGTGCTTTTGGATTAGTCCTAAAACAACATAATGAATTAAAGAGGGTGAGTACCTTTCTCATTAATTTCGAAACAGCCCAATGACAAAGGAGCAGATGCCTTGAAGTGACCTCCAACAGTACTGCCGAGCCATCCTCTTGGCATTGCTCTCCACAGGCAGTGTTGGTGGTTGTGGAGTGGTTCTTTGTGTGGTCTTCACTCTTGTAGGGACTTGAAAGGATTTCGTGGAAGCTTGCCTCACTGAATCAGGCCTGGTAGGTTCAGGTCGAGGTTGAGGTCTTGCAGGCTGTGCTCCCGGTCTTGCCCCTGTCCTTGAAGAATCCTCCGGCCATGACCGGGGGAAGGAAGCAGATGAAAATACCATCTGAGAGTCATTAGTTGCCCTCCTGCACATGTGAGGTTGGATCTGCCTCGGCGCCCAGCAGGCATTGTGGAGCTTCCTGAAGTCCCACATCATCTGGACGAAGTAGTGCCGGGGGTTTTTGTTGTAGGAGCGGCAGGTGTAAGGCTTCCCCACATACTCGCACCAGTAGGAACGCTTGCTGCTCTGGCATGACACCCTCAGCCTGGTGTATTCTCCATGACCAGTGATGATCATGGTACACAAGTCATTAGCCTTGGTGTTGAATTGGATAGGATCATCCCAGATGCTTTGTCTCCTGCTGCCGTCGCTCTGAGCCTCCGCCGGCCAGAGGCAGCAGGCGAGCAGCAGCAGCAGCAGAGTGCTGGCCTGGGTCCACATTGTGTCAGATGGATGCTGAGTGTGAGAGGAGGAGTGTGGAACTGCTGGAGCTGAGGGTACCTCCTGCTATTTATCGGCCAAGCAGACAAAGAGGGAATTCAGGATACGAAAAAAAAAAAAAAAAAGCAGACTAAAAGAAACTTGCTGTTCAGGAGGAGGAGAACAGCGACATCAGTTATCAGTTAGAGCTCTCTGATGAAAGCCAGGGCCACATGTCAAACCACCTGTTCATGTTTACCTAGGTGTTAAGTAAAAAGAGAACATGTCACACACGAAGAAATTCCTGAAGACGTCAATTATGTCAATTGCACCTTATAGAACATTTTACAGTTTGAGGCATTTTCGTTGCCAGAGGATTTGATGTATTTATCATGCAAAACATCAGGATTCTCAATAATCATCCGACGTTTGCTCCGTGTATCTCCAATTAAGAAGAAATGTGGCACGTCTGAGGATATGCTAAAGTAAGCGAGCCTCCCGAAGCCCTTGAATTCTTTCTTCTTTTAAATGGCAGTTGGAGCTCACAGCTGTGCATTGTAACCTATCATTTCCCTCCAAACATAAACACAACGAGACCGCTCAGCCACAAAGAAACGTGAAGTAGAAGGCACTCACACATGGCAGAACGAGTTCAGTGTGGAGCCTGGTAATTATTTTCTGAGGTTAATTAAGAAAGAACAAGAAATATCTATATTAGACTTTGGGGGTGAACGTAGCTGTTGGGTCTGAGAGGGCCAGATAGCGTGGGGTGGGGTTGGATATGTCTTTAGTGGCTTTATTTCCAGGCCTATCTGGAGAAAAGGGTCCCATTGTGAGTTACATGGGGCCAACTGTCAACATATCTGGAAGAGATTAGCTTCACTAAGTGGAGTGAAAAGAATTGAAATTATTATATATTTAACAAAACACAAGGGGTCACTTAATGTTTATGCATCTACACTTAAAATCAAAAACAATTTAGTTTAACGTTCATTCCGTGAGTAATTCTGTTTTTAGATGCAGAGTGAAGGGAAGCACTTCAGTTGCAGTCCCATCTTTTGCTAAACACCAAATTAGAACTGTTTCATATTCAAATCTTCTCTCCCCGACCCCCAGAGTGTTTGCGTTCCCCTGAGATCGCAGCACATTCACCAGCAGGCTTTGTGAGATGTAAGTATCTCCTTGCATAAATGCAAGTCTATGCTGTCCGCTGCTGTACGTGAAATTCAATCCAGTACAACTTTATTTTCCCTGCGTGCAGCAACTAGCAACACAGGATAACTCACACACGGGATTAGACGAGGAAAATAACAACAGCCAAAAAAATTATGTTCAATTAAGAATAAAGGATAACACACATTTAACAGCTGATAATTGTGTGTATGTGAATTTTCAGTAACAGATAGATTAATAAACAAAGTCTATTTCTTTGCTGGCTTTCAGCTAGAGAATTTACCAAATGATAATAAACAGCTTCATGCAATTTAATTTGTAAATACTTTTTTCCAAAGCCTCTTCAAGTGTATACTTGTATAGCATTGGAGTTCCTGCTGTAGCTGTTATTGTATATGGCTCTGCCCATCAAGCTAAAGAGGGATTGTACATACGGTAATGTACAACTTGTGCAAAGCTCAATGAACAAGGACAATTTGTGAAAATGTCAGAAATAACCATTCGAACACAGTATTTGATGTATACATAAACACAATAAAAAAATATTTTCTCTGAACCACTGCTTCTGTTTTCGACAAGATCTGGTTTCATCTGTCTCTTATACAAGTCTGTTTAGAAGCAGCAGTGAGATGGCATCTGGTTGTGCTGGTTGTGTTTCTTCACATATTGTTCGGTGCCTGAGAAAACCTCAGAACGAAGCTTATGGAAGAAGATAATAATCACATTTTGAAAATAGCTGACCAGCAACACAACTCAGTGGTTTCTGGTCAGAAGTGGCAGCACCACATAAGAATGTGTAGTCCTGTGTTAAAGTCTTAAGATACATTATGAGCAAGATGTCTCATGTTACATGTCATTAACCTCATAAACAACAACGTACCTTCACTTTCAGTAGCATAGCAGATACACTTCCTATGGTTTTCTCTCTATAAAAACACACACACACATTTAAGTTTTATAATTTCCTTTTATGCTAGCTATTACTGTATGCTTGATGCCTTTTTTTAACCTTACCACAAATAATAAAACCCTTCCTCTCTCTTTTGGATTAAACCAAAAAACATATTACCCCAAATTGCGTTGCCTATTCAAAACACAGAGCCTATTAAGCATTCCTAGAAAGTCAATAAAGTGTAAACAGAAAAAGGGAATGCAATGAAATAACAACAAACTGAAGTCCAAAGTTTATTCACAATTTTTACACTTTCTTTTCACCACCACATAAAATGTTCCTTCCTCATTGGCTCCATCAGTGTCCAACTTTGGAGCACCACAGTTCAAACCAGTTACTGTATCTGTCCTGCCAACATCCATCCAGGGTTTGGATACACAATATCTAGTTTAAGCACTTAGTAAAATCACACCCTTTTTTTTCTCTCTCTCTCTCAAGGGTCACATCCAGACTCTAGCAGACAAGAAAACCAATGATAGTCCTGTCAAAGTGTGCACACACAGCTGCTTCAAAAAATATCCATCTTAACAAGAAACTGGGGAATGCAATGAAACAAGTAAAAAAAAAAGTGAACTAATCTTATGCCAACGCAGACCATTTTGAATTTAAAATGTATCCAGAAGGCAAGTAGTTCTTTATACTACTTGTGTATGCTGTATGCAGTGTGTGAACTTTAGGTTTATGTAAAACAATGAGCAGTGAGCTGGCATCTATATTTAAGAGATGGGTTCATTTGTAATGTATTAGGTGTTAGGTATCTTAGCAGCTGTAGCAAGTAGCTGGATTGTGTTTGTGTTGCCATAAAAAATATAAAGGCCATAAGGTACAAGAGGTGAAATATTGCTAATCAGTTGATGTTATTGGATCAATTAACTAGCATCAGTTATTTCAAAAGCCTGTTAGCACATCCTTAAAATCATCAAATCAAGAGAGAAAATTAAACTAAAAATTTCCCCTCGCTTACAGATGATTCGACATAAAATTAGATTTGTATTAATGTAAATCCTTAAATTTGGGGTAGTTAGGCTAACTGCTGGTGCACTGCTGGTGTATTCAAACACCATACTTCAAATCCAAAAGTTTAATGTCAAGATTGGTATTATTTTTTATATTGTGTATTGTAAAATGTTAGGATGATGATTGTACTTCTGACAGGCAACCAGTCATTTGCAATGCGCCCCAAAACCAGAACAGATCGCAAACTTTCCCACTAGCTGTAGCTACACATAGGCTAACTAGCTAACTGGCCAGGAATGTGATGACTGATTTTTACTTAAAAACAATTAAACCAGTGCTGGATTCAATAGATGGATTAATTTGTAATGTAAAAGTAACGTATGTTAAAAATGGTCATACAAATGTGAATTAGTGGGTTATGTAAAACACAAAGGCTAGTTAGCTTACTAGCTGTAGCAACTAGCCTGGATTGCATTAGCGCTGCCAAAAATTGCCACTAGTTTTCAGTGCTAGTCAGCTGATAATATGATGATATGCTAGTGCATCAAATTACTAGCTATTGCAAGTTATTGCAAAAGCCAGTTAGCACGTTCTCGAAGTCATCAAATGAAGAGAGAAGATGAAACTCTAATGTTACTTATTTCACCTTGTGGTCCGCAGTTTTTTACTGGATTAAAAATGAAATATTATTTTTTTTAGACCTAACATTAGAGGCTATTGTATAAGTTATTCCTTTGTTGCACTGCTCAAAAACAATAGCACGACATCTAAAATAACTTTCAACGTTAAGATGGACATTATTTTTTCACAGTGTGCATCAACACCCGCCAAGTAAACCAGAAAGCATTCTTCAAGCATTCAATTTGATTGACAGTGCTCACTTGTCCCATGAATGGATTGTCTAATCTTTCACCATCATTACTACGCTGACAGCAGCTGCAGATCTAATCTGTAAACATGGAGGCGAGGTGGATGGGATAACTGGATTGGCTTGCCCGATGCGTTTGAATTAGATTTCAGCATATTACTCAACCAACAGCCAAATCAAGCAATACAAAATAAAAAATAGCTCTTGAATACATTCATTTGTTCAATAGTCTTAAATGTATCCATAGCTACTGTGGGGTTTTAAAAAGCAGGAACAAAATAAGCACATAAATGATAGACCACTAAAGACCTGAGACCTACAGTAAAAAAAAAAGAAAAGAGATTTGGCTTGAGAAAGTAATTCTCCACTTTAAAAGTTTCTATGAAAGCAAGAAAGATCTCAGTAAAAATGTCATGTTAGTGAACTCAACATGATAGCTTGTTTTGTTAATCAATCCATCACCTACACTTTCGTCATAGTACATATATATTAAGCAGTTAAGCTCTGAGTTTATTCTGTGATTTTTAAAGGGAAAATCCACCTAAAGTACTTACACTGTTACAAAAACACTATTTGGTGATGTAGCTTAAATTACTGATCAGCTTTGTTGTTTGGTGGTTTATTATTGGACTATGATTGACAGGATGTTAAGGTCAGATATTTCTGCAACAGGTAATAATACATCTTTTTAGGAGTGTAAAAAATAAAAATAATAGACTTTTAAAGGTCTTTAAAACAAAGAGTAGCTTTCAGTCTCAGGGGTTGGCCCACTCAAGGGTCACAAAATAAATCTCAGTGATCCCAAGGTGATTAACAACACAGGAAAGAAATAAGTAAAAATATATTTCTGTTGCATAGAGTAAAATATAAATAAAATACTGTTGTCTGACCTAATCTCTGTGATTTTTCTTAAACCAGATATCTTAAGTTTTCAGTTGCCAAAAACTTCAAATAAATCCATTTGTGCAGGGAAAAATACTCTTTGGTTAAATTTCTTTCTGCTCCTTGACACTGCTTCATTTTAAAGGGCAACTAGGCAAAACAAAATGTCAGCATTTTGTTCAATATTTAAAAACTTAGCAATCGCTAAAAAGAAACATTAGCCTTAGTAGACTAGAATCAATTGAAGCAACAAACTAATTTCTGGGCGGTTTAGAGGCATTCTGGGAAATGTAGGAAATTAACTCCTGGCACAAAATGACAATTAAACGAATATGCTATAAAAATAAGAGTATATTTTAATCTTTAAACCGCAAAATAATTCCATCACAGACTGGTGATTTCTAACAGTGTAAGAGCATCTAATGGTGGACTTTCCCTTTTAAGAAGGAGCATCTGTGTCAAAATGCCAGCGTGAAACATACTTCTGAAAGGCAACCAGTCATTTTCAATGTGCGCCAAACCAACACAGACGTCAATCTCTGGATGTTTCGTAATATTGTAAACATTTTTAAAAGTCGTGCTAAATTTCTTCCATAATAAAACCCAAAAATCCACCCGGTAACAGCCTGTTTTTGTATTTTTTTTTGTATTTTTTTCCCTCCCCATTTCTCAGTCATTAAGGTACCACACACCCACCAACTCATACAGGCTGCACTTAAAAAGGACGCGCCATTTTCAACAAAACAGTGCTTTTTTTTCGTTTTAAACACATCATATTTCATGTTAATCTGCACCTTCCCCCCTTTAACATTTGCTTGTGTTGAATGCGATACATCCATTTTAAGTGCAGGAGAAAAAGCAGCTAGCCATGACCTTCGGGTGACCTTTCAGCCACTGTTTTCTTAAGCACAAACAAGTACATTAAAATGAACAGGCATCACATTTATTGTCATGTCCTCCCGCTGAATGTATTTTCAGCTTGGTTTTGTGTCTGAACAAATGTAAACGCAGACACAGCAGTTCTTTGAAAAATGCAGAACAAGCCTGGCTCAGATTGATGCTGAGGGAGAAGAGTTTGATGTCCTGCAGGCAGGGGTTTCTTGGAGGGGGCGGGGGGGCGTCGGAGAGCGGGTAACTGTACTGGGCCGTGATCGGCCCGGTAGAGTTGATCGCTGTAGATAACCTGCAGGGCTTTGTGTGTTGTTCTTCCGTCGTAAAGGAAACCAGCTTTCATTGATCTTCGTCTGGTCCGAGGGATTGTGAGACGTACGGCTTAAAAAACAAACGAAAAAAAAAAGAAAAAAAGAACATGATTTGTTTAGTGAACCCAAAATATACCCAATGTATTTGCTTGTGTGTATTTGCACATACACACAGTTCTTCTCAACAACTTCTACTACTTCCTTAGCTCTATTCTCTCACATGGGGATTTCTGTAACACCGTTAAAAAACTACACGCTCATTTCATCAGTCTGCACTAATCAATCCTCACTGAGTTTTAAAGTAAATTAATTAATTAAAAAAACAAGAATTTTCATTATCCTGTCAATAGTGAACTCGCTGTAATTGACTCTGATAGAATTCTCCATTCTGCAATCGAAATGCTACAAACTCATTTTGCAAACTTCTTCCACTTGTTTCAGGAAAAATTTGATTTGTTAACTCAATACGGGAATAAATTACTTGTTAAATAACAAGAAAGGGGCTCTGAGCCGTTGTGTTCTTTACAATTGATCCGGGAATCGAAACTCATTCTGCTGTTGGATCCATTGCAGCAGATTAATCTAAACCGCTACAATAAAATATAGAATGTAAGAGAGCAAACTTACTGTTTTAGTTCCAGTTTTCGAGGGCACTGGGAAGACAAATATAAGAGAAGAATGAATCAGATATTTTTATAAATTAAGTAAATAATTCAAGACAGTGTATTTCTATTTTTTTTTTCTCTTAGATGACCCAGGAGACTAATGCAGCTCCAGCAGGGTTGTGGAAATAGAAGACATGAGTGCAGTGCAGTCAGTGATGCTTTCATGAAGAGCCACAGAGGATTTACAAAGACTGCATTCTGTTTTTCCCGTCTAAAAATGCACAATTCTTGCTGTAGTCCCATAAAACATGCTTTCCTCTGGGAATAATGCATTTCCCTACAGATATTATAAGTTACATTTTATAAAGACTATATGTCATTTGCAAGAAAATGTGACATTGTGTAACGTGATTTTCAGTATCAAGTGTGAGTGATGGTGTAAATATGTTCCGAAATAGCAAATATTTTTGTTATAATCTTTATTTTCTATGACTTCTACTGTTCACACAGTCATATCCGTCAAAATGACGCCAGGAGCAGAATTGTTGTTGTAATGAGGCCTTGCTATTTAAAGCAAGAGTATGTAACTTTTTAAAGAAGAAATAAGTTATTTATTCCTCTTTACATACAAAAATTTGAATATATAAACAATAAAACGCTCCTCTGCTCAATTCAACGCACAGGGATTTTGCTGCTAAAGCCTCACGTGGTCTGGTATGACCAGTAGCTTACGGTGGCTAATGTTAGCAAACCAGTTTGCCGATTTTATGACTTTTCTCTACTTGTACTACATATTAGATTAACATTATCTATTAAAGTTTACCCTTTTCCTGTAATTGTCACTTGGGGCCACAATGGCTGCCGTTCAGAAAAAGTTCTATACCCTGGTGGTTTGCTTCAAAAACAAGATTGTCGATTTTATTAAATTTGGTTTCACCTGTGGATATAAGTATGGCTGTAGTATAAGTATCAGTTCTATTTGAAACAAAAGAAAGATCTAGACAACAACAGGCCTTTTTCACAGCAAACATTTTGAGTAAAAGCAGAGATGGCACCGTTAACGACAGCTCTGCTCTGTTCAAATGACCCAGTAAACCATGACAGTGTGACAGAGAGCCAGCATGAACAATACCAGGGCCACGAAACTGAAGCAGCTGAATGGAATTCAGATACTTTGACATTTTTTATTATTTAAATCTGTGTTTTTCCTACTGTGACATGTCAAAATGTCCTCTGTGAAAACGGTGTATACCACCACCTCCAGACAAAATACAAACATTAACAGGGAGTGCAATATCATTTTCTGTATATACTTAATTTTTGGTTAAATTTGCATAATACCCGTGAAGTGTAGTCCCTGTCAGCACTAACAGAAACTAACAGAGCGGACAAAAGGCATGTCAACATCAAAAGGCCACTGATACAGAAAAAGCAAATGAGGAAAAGTATCAAATATGGCATTTTTGCAAAATTATAATTTCAAGCATTCACACTAACCGAGAAGAGCTGTTCCAATAAAGGCATGAAATGGTCAGACAGGCTACTGACTGTTTTGTAAATGAGGCAGTTTTTAGACCCAAATGATGTTATTCTCAATAAGGAACAAAACTGAAGTAAGGCGGAACAAGCACATGCAGCATTTCTCCTCTGCAACACACTGACTAAGCAAGTCACAAGCAGTCAGACATAAATACTGTGAAGACATTTATGGCTCGTTAGCGATTCCAAAATTAGCGATTCTCACCATGATGGTTTTCCTGCAAAGTCACTGTAGAAGCAGAAAAAGGACTAAAACGAGCTGCGAAGAGGCGTTAGAGAGTTCAGGTTAGAGCGGTGCTCAAGCAAAACAAGGAAGATTAAACACAGAGGAGAGAGACGGATGGCGTGACGACGGCAGACGAGAGATGACAGCTGTGTGAAGGAAAGGTGTGAGGTTGTAAGGGAGGGGTTTAAAGAAGACGGTGTTAGAGAAACAAACACGGGTCTGACTCGTTGGGTTTTCCCAGTACCTTTCAGGAGCCAGGACAAGAGCCGGCTCTCTGTCACCAGTCGATGTGCCTCGGAGGAGCCGAGGCCCGCGGGAACCTGTTCATAGTGTCATAGGTAGGGATGCTACCAGCACAGGAACACACACACACACACACACACACACACACACACACACACACACACACACACACACACACACACACACACACACACACAGGGCACAGCATTAACAGCACAGACAGAGAATTCAACCATCACGTTTCTTGTGAAACCGCTACTTGCCTCTTACTTGGCAAAAAGAAGCGGGATGAGCGGATCACGAGGCAGAGAGCAGAACAGCTCCATCTACATGAAGATGGATGAACTGTGTGGTCAGGTATAGGGGCAATAAGTAAGTTTCTGCAAACGACAAATAATGATTACATTAATATACAGTGTGGTCCAAAAGTCTGACACCACTTTACAGTTACCTGTTTATCCAGCGAACACAGTTTAAAGCGAATGAGAGAAGTTAAGTGTCAGTGTTTCAAGAGCTGCTAGAGGTCATACAATAGGTTACTTAGTGCCCCTTTAAAATCCTAACTTTTGGACAGTGATTTTTTTTTTTTTTTTTTAGAAAAATCACAAATGTATTACACAATATTTATTAGAAAATGACAAATCCCTCTTTGAAAATGTTCTATTTCCAGGTTAATACCTCAAAATGGCGAATTTTTTCTTTCCACTAAGGATTATAGTGGATAATAGTGGAAGCAAAGATTTGTTTCTGTAACGTGGCTGTTTTGCTCTCTGCCTGTAGCCTCTGTTACAGTAGGTTGGTTGGCCAAACGCATCCCCGTCCAAGTGCAACTTAAAAATATACAACATGCAGTTAGACGTTGTGTTAAAATAAGGAGTAAAAATCAAAAGGAGCAGCATTCTCAGCATCACACCAAAGCTTGACATGCTTGCCTCTCTCTGAACAAAATGATCAGGTGAACATTCATCGGACTTTGGCTGACTCTAAACGAGAGGAAACAGGAAGATTTTTCATTTCACACGATCATCCCAGAGCGCGGACAGAGCGTGCAGCAAGTTAGTTTAAAGGGGAAGATTCCCCCAAAACCACACAGAGGAACATTTGGCAGCGACACAGACAGAAGTAATGGTAGCGAAAATATTTAAGATGGGACGGACTGAGCAAACGATTTAAAGTAAATTTCCTGCTCAATCCTTATGAAAGAAGAACAGTTTGACATTTTGGGAAATAAATTTATTTGAGTGTGAGGTGAGAAGATTGACACACAGAGCTGGAATCATCTTAATAGCCGGAAGAAGCTGTTCTTAGGCACAGCAACGCAATTAATACCAAATTATATGGTTTTTTTATATATGTTATTTGGAAATAAACTGGAATTTTATCGACCCAGAAAATAAAGTGTACTCAAATTTTTGTCCTGATGATGGTACTGTTGACTGGGTTAGAAACGAAAGTCTTTCTGGGTCATGCTGACAGGAAGCTGACAGGAACCACAAACTAAGCTAACCCCCCTCCTGGACCCAGCTCCACACTTAACACACAAAATGGTACAAATCTTCTCATCTAACTCTTGAAAGAAAATTAAAATAATAATAATTAAAAATAGCTTTTGATTTGACTTTTTTTTTTTTTTGATACAAGCATTGCAAAACAAAACTCATCATATTGGATGTTTTGTAATACAAGCTACCATTACTTGTCACTTTTCAGGTTGTTATTTAATTTTCTACCCTCCAGATATGTGTGTGGGTGTACACACATGTGTGTGTGTGTGTGTGTGTGTGTGTGTGTGTGTGTGTGTGTGTGTGTACATGCAGTGAATCAACTCCCTCAAAGCCATGCATTGTGTCTCCAGCTACATCATTATCCTTGTAAAAAAAAAGAAAAAAGAAAAACCCATTTCCCCAGGCATGCCTCCGCTTCCCCATCACATGCAGTCGACAGGATTAATATAACGTTTACCTTGTCATCATAGGATTTGGGATACCTTGTGAACGCTCACTATGATAACCATTATTACCAATTTCCATACTGAAAACAAAATATTGTATACAAAAAAAGGGATGAAAAATGTAATGTGAGAGACATGGCATGCTGATCAAACTTTAAGAGTAAAAATGCTTAGCCAAATTTCGCAAAAAGAATGTTAGGAGATAAACATTTTTTTTTTTTGAGTATAAACCGGTGTTTTATTTACACTATAACTTACAAAAAACAGGTGGAATTGTAAGGTAATGATCGCAAGAGCCCTTCATGAAAGGTAAGGGGCACTTTTCAAAAGGTAGCACACGACAAGAAGCCACACCATCCACCCATAAGAGCAATTCCAAGCTTAAAAACATAAACCAGCACCAAGAATTTAGTAAACAATTCTATGTACAAGATCCAGAGAAAAGCACAGAGTGATAGTAGTTGTAAAGGAGAGGGAGGTGGGTAAAATGTCTTACGTTTTCATGGGAATTGTCTCAATGCTATAAAGATAACACACACACACACAAAAAAAAACAGCAAAATAAAAATGTTATTGAATAGAAATGCACCAGAACGTTGCCTGTAATCCAGCAAAGATCACATGACGACTGCTGCAGTTGTGCAAAGCCATGACCAAATGAAAGCAGAGAGGGTGAACAAAAGCTCCATGAAGAAGACATACGAAGTGACAAATGCATCAATGTTTCTTTGTAAAGTGCCAAGTGCTTGACAGAGAGAGGAATGAAACCAAAAAAAAAAAAAAGAAAAAAAGGATGTGGAAGATGGAAATAGTAGAAATGGTTATCACAAAGTAAAATGCCAAGTCCCAGAAACAGAGGAACTACAAGGAGGAGAGAAGGGAAGAAAAATAATAATAAATCAACAATAAACCAGTGCAGCTACTGCCACAACAAAGAACCCCATCTTTTACTGTCAAACAATATTCAATAGCAAATTAGCAAACTACAAATTCTACAAAGTCTCATGATTTGCATTTATGATGGACATTATTTGCAGTGAGTGAAGAGCAAGAGGCTGAAGAAAAAGGAAGGATGCAACCACGTACAGCATATAAACTTTCTATCGGGATGACTACAGCACACACTGTCTTGTGTAATTGCTTCCAAGTAATCAGGGGCGTCGTATCATGTTCTACAGACTTAAAAAATAAATGCTTTATACATAGTTAAAGATGCAGCAGCAAGAACAACAACAACAGAGACTACTCACTCATCGTAAACATCCTCTGTGTCCATCCTGCGGTAGTACTTGGCTAGTTTCACTGCCAGGATGATGCTGGGCAGCAGGAAGAGAGTGCTGCAGCCCAGGCCCATCCAGAAAGTGTTCTGTTGAGAAAAGACAAACCATTAGACCTGAAGCCATTAGTCCACTAATCAACTGACGGAATATTAATCTGCAGCTACTTTGATTATCTATTAATCGTCAAATCCTTTTCCTGCAAAAGTGATTTTTCTTTTTGTCGTTTGTGATTTAAAACTGAACATCTTTGTGTTTCGCTTTGATTTGGAACATGCACATTTGGGCTTTCAGATATTCCAGTGGGTATCTTTAATTCTATAGACCAATTTATTAAGTGATTAATTGAGAAAATAATGTGCATTTTAATTGATAATGAAAGAAACAGTTAGCCGCAGCTTTAAAAAACAGTTTGAACAAACAGTTAAAATGTGTTTTTTTGCACGGCCACATGTTGCATGTTTTTCATATATTATATCACTGGGTGAAATCAGCTTATATCAGCTAAGGTTTTAGCAGTTAGTTTAGCAGCATAAACTAAAAATCTCATAGACAGAACTGCGGCTTCTCTAACACCATTACCATAGAGTCGACCAAGAAGCTACAGGTTATGATTTCCGTCGTGTCCACCATGTTGCTGAAGGGCTTGCACTGTGCGACCTCCATGGCCAGCTACAGAAAACGAGACATAAGGAGCGACGGTCAGCACACAGAACAACTGAGGAATAAGAACCGCACGTTAAATTCTGTTTCTGCCCGCTAACATGAAACCCTGTTATGTTACCACGCTACAATAGATCCCTGTAGTGTAACTGTGTGTCTTCTTGGAAAACAAGAACGTTGTGATTAAAATATTGACAGCTCTTGAGGTCTGAAAAACAGCTTCAGGCTGCAAACATCTTGTGTTTTTTTTTTCTTCTTCTTCTTCTTCTTTATTTTGAATTCCTTAGGTTAACTCCAGAAGAAACCAATGTGCCCAAAAGCAAATTCCTCAAATTTATAGATGTTGTAACTGTTATATTTGTCGTCTCTATATTTACTCCCAAACTCTTATGTAACATGCGAAGGTCGTTCTGCCAGTAACTCCCTGAGCTGCAGCAGTCTTTGACTAAATGAATATTGGAGTGAAAATATATATATATATATATTTACAGTATATATCAGTCATCACCTTGCAAACGAAGCGAAAGTGAGAGCCACACAAGCTTCTACAAATTAACAGATTAACACACAAACACTTACAGATGTTTTGACCCATTCTATGTATTGGTGGAAGTAGCCAACTATGGTCGCTGTGTATTTTCCTGTTTCCTGAGGAAGATAAGGACACGGTGTGAGCCGCACATCGTTTACAAATTAAGAATATAAACGAATAAGAAACGTCACTCTGTCGTTACCCGATTGATTAAATGTGAAGCATTCTGGGAGATGAGATACTGGGCAGCTTCAATGGCATCGAGAACCGCTAAGACTTTGTTCTGCAGAGAATAAAACAATGATTTTTGTTGAGGTTGAGCCTGAATGTAACTGTAGATTTCAGATTCAGACTGGAGGGCTGGTTTACTTACCGGGAGATCCGAGGCCGTTCTCTCCAGGAACCTCATGCTCTGATTCAAGGCGCTCTTTAGAGGGAACATTAAGAACACAAATTAACACCAACGATGACAAAAGATTAGGGATTAATTTTAACACCCAAAAACAAACGTCGGTGAAACACAACGTGAGAGAAAACCACAACCAACCAACACTACATGAACAACATTACGCTCTGATCACAGGCATGCTGAAGACATTTGTTCCAAAATGAAATATCCACAATGCAAAGAAAGGAATAAGTCACTTCCTTTCCTTTTACAAATGCTTACACTGTCCTGTGCACTGTAACAAGTGAACACCTTGATTTTCCCACCAATGATGGAACAGACAGTTTTTACCAAAAGTATGACTGAATATTCACATTTCTTTCCTTATTGTGGATATTTTTGTGATATTTTGGTACAAAACCCTTCATGTTCAACACCATAAATGATCTTTATGCAATGTAAATACACACACACACACACACACACACACACACTATCCTATAACACCATCCAGAATGAGATACATTTTTTTCAAATTACAACAACATGTTGGTATTTCTCTAAAGGTTCCTAATAATGGATGGGGGACACTAAATACACAGGATGGACATATTTCTGCTTACCCTCGCTCTAACATATTTCTTGAAGTTGAAAGAGGAAAAAAAAACAAAACAAAGAAGAACATAAAAGCTTTTGTAAAAATCTGTGTTGGAGCACATCACTGCTTGTCTGAATTGCTAGTAGCAATAAATCCTCGGTGTTATTCAAAAGAATGGGATTGGCCTTGACAGAGAAAATAAAACTGAATATTTAATTTGGTGTTCACAGATATGACACGTTTGATGACACATGCCTGGGGATCAAAAAGACTCGGCTTCTGATGATATTAAATGAAATTCTGAAATATATCTTCTCCGTCAAAGAGAATACCTTTCTCTTCAATAGACATCTGCACAAGGAGAACACATCGGTTACGGCTTTTACTCCAGCACAATGGTTGACCTGAAGAACCTTTCTCCTCTGAGCATCGACCTTCTTTCCTTTTTCTCTTTTTGGCCACTTGAGGAGAGCTGACATATTATCAGTTGCTTATTTACTCATCCAGCACATGACGCGACATTAGCACTAATTTCGAGTTGTGTTTCTGGGCACCTGAGTCCAATATTCACTCTAATTTAGCTCCGTTTTGGTCTCCACCCATATGTGTTTTCCTTTAATTTGCCTCATTCTTTCTTTAAATTATTCACTTTCCTACGTTTCCCATAGTGCCTTTAAGCAACCCCCGGTCAATCACAGTAGTGAGTATGTGCTGCATTTATTTGCACTGCAAAAATAGAACAGGAGCTGGAATTTTTCACAACAACAAAACACAACATGCCCTGTGGCTGCAATGAATTCTGGTCTTTTGAAGCCAGCGTGGGTGAGGAAACTGGCCCACACCTCTTCTGTGCTGGGTTTCCAGATGACTGCCAAATACTGACTGCAGAATATTAAGTCAAGAAAACTGACATCTCTCTTTTTTTATTATTATTTTTTTAAATGCACAATTCTAGCTGTACTGTAAATATTATTATAACGATCGTCATGTCAGTTCATCTTTGGCCAGTTGTGCTTGAGAAAAAGCTCAGTCATGACAACAGAACTACCCAGAATTACCCGGTTTTTAAGTGCTTTAGGGAGGATGCTTCCTCTAAGGACAAAATTGATTGAACCAAAAAAGCAAGAGTCCAGTCAGACATGAGCGTCTGGACCGGAAAGAGAGACGACACAGTGGGGCATTACCATGGACTGCTCCATGGGGGTGATCTGTTGAGTGTGGATCTGTCGCAGAGTGCCGATGTGGCCCTTCAGAGCGCTCTGCAGAGGGCCTCTGGGCTGAAATCTCACACACACACACAACCCACACACACACACACACACACACACACACACACACACACACACACACATCATCAAACTTAGTATCAGTATCAAACTTTATGGTTTAAAGGAACTGGTTGATCTAATATTTGGTTTAAATCATGAATAAGAGGTGATGCTGCGTGTAGCACCCTTATGATGACGCAACATTATTTACAGACAAACTGGTCTGAACATTAAATTTAATCCTGTTTCAAAAGACTCTTCCTCTGAATTCAACTCCAAGCTCCATTTTTCTGGAGGATCCGACTGGACTCGCCGGTGGGAGGTGAATAAATGTGTTGTGTTGCTTGAATCGCCTGAAAGCGTGGCGGAGCCGTCAGCGAGAGGCCGAGCCCGTGTTTAGGAACAGCTGCCGAGAGAGCTTGGAGAGCAAGATCGCCTAACCCACCATCAAGCGCTCCCATGGCATTGTAAATAAATACACAAATTAAATTAAGTGCCTGGTCGGAGTGGATGTTTGTGTATCAGCCAGTGCGGCACCAAGGTCTTCTTACCATAAGGTCTGTCTGGGCCTCCAGCTCTCTGGCATAGGAGAGCAGGTCCACAACAGTCACTCCTTTATTCACCTGAAGATAATGATGCATCAAGGGAAAGAATAACGTAAACATTCTGGTCTGAGTAGCAATGTTGAGCAGAAACCAATTACATAACGTTTGGTAGTAATTTAAAGTCTCTGTTGTTATTTTCTTCATTAAAAAGTTGCAGTTTTTTTTATCTTTTGTTCATTGTGTTGCTTCTTAAATAAAATGCTCATAAATAAAATAATAAAGAAGCTAAAGATGAAGAAGACTGAGCAGCAGAATTATATATTTTTAAAAACCACATCAATTCATATTCCTCCAGCATTTTCTTCAAAAGGAAAAGCTTAAATTCTCCAATGACTTCATTTAATGAAGGGTAAACATTTACTTTTTAAAGCACAAAATAATAATAATAATTTTTTTCAACTTACCAAAAAACAGCAGAATAGAATGAACTCACTTAAATGACGCCCAAGTACAGATAAGCCTTTTCAGCTGATGTAGATCTGACTCAAGTTAATTAAGTGGCTGGAGACCTTTTAATTCTGTGTCACACCAAACATCTGGCCCCTCCCACATGGGATTATAAAACACATCTGTTTTGAGTATGCATCCTCCAATAATACATACACAAAACAAATATTATAAGTGCATCTATATTCTTTCAAAAAACAAATCCGAAAATGATGTGTTGACAGAAAAGCACTGCTACAGATCCAGAGGACTGATACAGGGCTTCTCCTCTTCTCCAGTTAACTGGCTAATTTAAACGTTTCATATATGAACAGCCAAGTCGGTCTTTGTGCATCATCCATATCTATAAGGTATTTAAAACACCGGATCTCGGCTGGGCACATAGAGATCTTTTGTTTTTAGAAATATTATATACAACATAATTCTCAGCACCGTATTCATTTCTATCTTCTTAAACGTACACAGTTTAGGTTTAGTCCATGTATCACCAGTCCACAGACTCTCTACTTTTCTAATCTGTGACTATATTTTCTTCCAAAGAAGTGCAGGTGCAACAAACATTTGTTGCACATAAAAATCTTTCATCCTGACTTTTGGAGATCGAGGAGTGAGTGAGTGAGTTGTGCATCAGGACAGGTGGTTCACTTGAATGGAGTCCTTAAAGCCTTCCTTCCTTCTTTTTTTTCCCCCCTTTCTCTCTCTCAGGAAATAAATCTAAGCGAACCTGACAGGTAATGTTGGAGGAGACAGGGAATGCCAAGTCCGGGCTTGTTCCTACACACTCTTTGCCTTGGCAGGACGACTTCTGGATAATCAAAGCTTCAGTGGTTCTCGGCAGAGCCCAGTGTACTGTGTCACGTCGCCGCTCATATCAGGTAGAGCGCGGCCGCCTGCAGTACGTTAACTGACAGCAAAGGAGGAGGCTGTTTAACTGAGCCTTAGGAACCAGGCTATTTCTGGTAACATACCATTAAAGTACAACTGTAATACAATAATACTAGTGCATGTATAGAACAATCTATTATGAATATTTACACTGATCTTTCACAACTAATCGGGTTTTTATAGAAAGCTAACGCTAATAAACTGACCTCACACGGCCGCCTGACATGGTACGATTCACACGAAGATGAACTGACCGTTATTCTGTGTCATTGTGTGTATGTATTTGTCTGTGCTTGTGTTTTACGTGTTTTCAGCTCGTTCTCATGCTTGTCCCTTTTTGTTTCTGCTCCTGTCTGCGCGGTTGTGTGTGTCCCCGCCTGTCCCGTTACGTTTGTGTTTTCCTGTTCATTCATGCACATTCTGAGAGAGTCTGGTTTGCCCCCTCATACTTATGGGTCTGGGTTTGTTGATTCAGATGTGTCACTGTACATCTGTTTGTTTATGTATATATATACATATATGTGTGTGTGTGTGTGTGTGTTTTTGTGTGTGTCACCTCTTCCAGATAGTCGGCGTAGTTGATTTCTGACAGCCCTGCATCAGCGAAATCCAGGAGGTTCTGCTTCCCCTCTGCCTCTAACAGGATTATTCCTCTCAGGTCGATCTTAACGCTGTCCAGCTGACCCACCACATCCTTAGTAAACTGCAAACAAAGAAAGGTACGGCAATAGTTTTGACTAGGCCTGGAGGTATTTAACACAACTAGATTCTCTCATCTACATATCAAAGCTTGTTCTGCTGTTGCCAAGGGCCCCGACTGTAAATGTTAACTTGTTATATGTTCATTTTTGCATTTTCTGAGAATAACATCAACAATGTTTGGTACCTCGACTATCAGCTAAACCTCCAACTTATATTCATGGTCGTTAGAAAAGCTTGGTTATGTGTCACGGTTTAAGTCTGTGTCCAGTAGAGACAGAGGATTATTAACGTCAGTAATGTGATGAAAGGCTTCAAAAATGCAAAACAAATACTGGCACTTTGCTGAACACAGATCTTAAGGATGTGGTTTGGATGGAAGTATACATCCCACTAAAATGCTTTTTCTTGGTTGATTTTCCAGTTTCTCCTTGTTTCTATTGTAAATGCCTCCGTTAATGGATTCGTGCACATAATGCTTTCCTTTAAATCGGACTAAAGGAATAAATTGTGATGCAAAACTGAACTGCAATTAATAATTAAACAAGAAGCCAACTTCTAACTCGACGTGGTCAAAGAGAGAGCAATACTCAGCTGAATAAAAAACACTGCAACAGTAAAAATTTTTTATATTTCTTAAAGCTCCACGGTGTCGATATTGAGTCAATATTGATTGATGATTTCCACAAAGGATTTCTTTAATAGAAATATCTCACCACCAACAGAAGATATAGCTTTTTGTGGCACTACAAAGAAAACCCACATATTATACAGGCTATAAGTTTATATGGCTATAAACTTGTTTGTCCCTCAGATAACATGGGACTCACATTGTATGTTCACATTGGCTGGATCTCCCATAAAACTAAGTTATTGCCAGAAGGATGAAATAAAATCAACTCCAGATGACAGTAGCTCCAAAAACCAGAGCCCAAGTGTTTTCATTCATTCATACATTATTGGTAACCTCATGAAAGTTTCATTTTTTTGTCATAAATTGTGATTTTATGTTAAAACAAGTTATGAAAATGTATGAATCTGGTGAATGGAGAAATAAAGTAAAATTTCCAAATGGCCTCAACAGTGAAATTGAAATCCCTAACATTTCCCTTACATTATCCCTGACTTTAAAAAGAGAATTATAATATTACTTGATGGACAAACATATCACAAACACATCCTGATAAAGAATTAGCACGATTGTTTTATTTATACAACATTTATGCCCTTAACGTTAAATTTGTCTAAACACTACTGACCTTTGGGTGGTCTTCACCACACACGGCGCTTCCTGTTTGAAAACTGCTCCGCCCTAATCTATGATTGGATATTAGAGAAGTCATGTGATTTTGATCACATGACATCACAGCTTGTCGGAACCCATAGTTTTATTTATTAATTTTCATTGGTTTTGAGAAAGACCTGCACCAGTGAAGCAAAATATACGTGGCCAGGCAGATTATTATAATACTATGATTTAAAAAAAAAAAAAAAAAAAAAAAAAAAAAAGAATCAGAATCACTTCCTCTTTAGCGATTTTGCCTAGAAAATAAAAGCGCGAGAAAGTTTTTAGTTTGTTTGTTTGTTTGTTTTGCGGCAATGCTTTATCTCAAGCTATTTGAGCTTTTATTCTGAAAACTTCTGAAAGGAAGTTCAAAAGGTTCTATTGGTTACTCGACAAACGTCTGGTCAAGACTTTCAGAATAAAATCAGAGCGGAAACAGAATGTAGATGATGAGCAAGATCTTCACACGTGAACACTAACAAAACAAATTCCAGTTGCATTTTTATCAATATTTTAAATTAGCTTTTGATTATATTTTGGACCGCCATCTAATGGATTAGAAAAATAAACTCACCTTATTTTCAGTAGAAGTAGATACACGAAGTTACTGGATTTTTGGTCAAGAACATTAAAACACACAGAATCACACATCCCGTATAACAAGGCAGTACTGCACCAAAGTGACGGGCATACATTAATTGTATGTTCAGCCGTTGTCCAAAAAAATATTTCGTCTACGCTCAAAATTTATTGTTAATTAGTTCGATACCAAAAACAGGTGTGGTGTATTTAAAATGAACCTGATTGGTCGATAAGGACAGTCCAATGCAATCAAATAGGAAGCGCTGGTTGGTCGTTTAGCGACAGTGACGCACATCTCGTGGAAGTAAAGGTAGGCTACTTCTAAACACCTGGCCGTTATTTGTGTCAAGCAAAAACTCAGTCAAAAATATTCACAGACACGAGAGGCGTATTTGTGCATCCGGCGTGACTTACGCTTTCCGAGGATTATTATTAATTATCCGCTTAGAAATCATAGAAAATAAACGTTCCCCATAACCACAGAACTCGCCTGAGAATAATCCGGTTTTTAAGTTTTCTTCAGTAGCCAGGTAATTTGGACATAGTAGTCAATACATACAACGGCAGATAGCAAACACGAACTCCTAATAGTGAATCCGGCTTAATTACTTTTCCAAAATGTAAACAAACATAGGCGAAAAAACACAACAACATGCTATGTCACAGCTAGCTAACTGCTCCCTAAAAGTGGTATGATGCAGGTAATTGTGTTGTTTTTGTGGGGATAAAACACTGTCAGAGATATTAGTTCAACTATTATTGATATTATAAATGGATTAATATATATTATAAATGGATTGCGTTATATGGAGAGGTTTTTCTAACGTATTTTCAAACCCATTTATAAACACTAGGTTAGAAGAATATTAAAACTGCAGTCCAGTATAATTAATAACTAATAACTATGACCTCAGTGGCACATTTTGGAAAGTTTGAACAAAAACCATTATGAGCTTTGTAAAGGAAGAAAATGTGACGAAAATGATCCAATTAAAATCTTATGATAACATATTGTCAAAAGTGACACTACAGTACCTTCAAGCTGACGGCCAGTGACCAACCTCAGCAAGAGGAATGTGAGAATTAGGTCAGTATCTTTAATTTTCCTGTAGAGACCTGATAGAAAATCATATTTCACTATAGGAATAAAATTCATGTTGTTACTCAGACCATAAAAAGAAGGGGATATTTGGAGATTGAAATATCAAGTATTAACAATTTGAGAAGATTCTGGAAGCAAAGATCCAATGAAACAGTGCTTCTTACATAATGTTTTAAGAGAGCTTTATCGTTTTGTAAGGTTTGTTATTTAAAGCTTATACGGATGATAAAATACCTGACACATTGTTTTGTTTTACTTAACTCCTGTCAGACTTTTGGAAACCTCAAACATTTGCAGGCACTAAATCAGGGCAAATGACCAATGTGCAGAAACAGACGCAGCATGGGGATATTATCAGCTGTCGGCTAAGACGAGCCAAGGCAGTCTTGCCAGTTGGCAGGGAATTACAGAACGTCTTAGGCTGGCTCAGGGTCAGAAAGAAAGAGAAACTTACATCAGGGTACAGTGAAGTCAGGGCTGAGGTATCTTTAAGCTATCGGCTGTCGGCATATGCTTTGGTTTGGCAGTAAAGAGTTCATTAGGTAATGTTAATGCAGTGCTGTAGCCAAGGATGGAGATCTCTGGACACTCCATCACTGTTAGCTCATAGAGCTACATGTCAAAATTGCATATATTTTTTATTCTAACCTGGTGTGAGCATGTAGGACACCGCACTGATTTATTGTATAATAGCTACCCATAATAATAGTTTATGAGGATTACGGCACAGAGTAAAATTAGAATACATTCCTAGAAAATAGAGATAATGCAAAATCATATTACTTTACTAAGAGATCAGAAAATCAGATCAGATAAATCATAGCACCCCGTCCTATCTTAATAATCTGTGTCTTGTGTCTGTTTTAGACTAGGGGCGTTTGAGAGATGTTGTGATATGAGTCATGATTTCAATGGTAAATTTTGCATTTTGTTTTCACTGAAAAAAAAAAATATATAAAATTATAATGATATGATTTTTGTACCAAACAAGCGTCTTCCTTTATATCTGGAGAATATGGTTTATAGGCCAGGGACACCTCTGTAGCGCCACCGTGCTTTATTTATTGTACGCTGTTACACAATATGTGTGTCTTGAGTTCACTAACCACCGTCGTGTTCAGGAAGGAGGAGATGTTGAAGACTTTGTCCAGACGCATGGCCAAGTAGATGCCTTTGTTCTCTTTGCAAGTACTGAGAAAGACAAACACAAGAGAGGAAGGGAAATGTTAACTCATAAGTTTCAGTCATAGTGGAAATATTTGCTGCCACCAAGTGAAATTGACTGGAAGTACAGTGCATGACACACTGACATGTTGACTGATAGAAGACCGGGAATATTTGCTCATATCTCCAAGATAAATGTTTCCATCATAATCCCATATAGACTCACGTACAGTAAAGTACACAGTATTAGCAACTGCTTGCTTTTTAATGTATGCAACACTGCTCTATTTGGAAACATAATGACTGCGGGTCTGCCATCCCAGTTATCGAGGATATGCAGCTTCTCACTGGAGGGAAATGATGAAAGCTGATGTAATCACTGAGAAAGAGGCTGAAGAAAAGGAGCACAGATAGTGTAGAAAAATGATGCTAATTAGCTACTCAGGGTTAATAGCAACTCTCCCTCTCATTTGCATCCCCATCAATGGGAATGAAATATTCAGTCGCATGCTTGATGCCTGCACCAAAACAAAAATGTTAGAAAAATGTGAAAATCTGCATCATCGACTAATTCCACAGACTGTAATTGAATAAATGGCTCGTCCTGCTGCAACATCCATTCAGTTTTTGTGCCAAACGTAAACATGAAATATAGAGAAGACAGATATTAAATAGGTCGTAAAGGGAATAATGATCGCCACAGCATTGCTTCTGAGAGGTGGCAGACATGACACTGACACCTAAACACATAAGGAATGAGTTTGCTTTGCCTGTACAAGCTCTCAGCCGTCAGCTCGAGCTCGGAGTCGTTGTACATGTAGCCAGGGATGAAGTTCTTCCACTCCGGGTTGACCAGATATGGGGTGTCCACGACCTGGAGAGCCAGAAAGGAGGATGTGTGATTGGCTCATTCTCATGGGAAACAAACTGGATCAATCAGTAAATTAAGCGAAGCACAGTTTAATTTAAGACCATTGTTATTCAAGAGCAACTGAGACAAAGCAGCATCAATGCTTCACTCCAGAACCAGCCGTGAAAGAGTGACGGTGGAGCTGGAAGAAGTATGAATGCTCGCTAAATTATTCAATGAATTACAAGAGAAAAAGTCTGCAATTCCTACAAGTTGTGTGATTTATTGTTCGTTAGTAAAATCCTAAAGTTTCTATTCCCTCTTGTTTCAGATTACTCATACCTTGTAAAATGAGTGGCAGGATAAGTGTTGTGTTTGCTTTTTAAACTTGAGGAAATATGATATCACGGATGGTGTAACTGCAGCAGAATCCAAGCTTAATAGGAGCAACGGCGTACCACCCACAAATGGGAGCGACTGCTATTCTCACAAGCCCACCCAAGGGACACAGACATGTATGCTGTAAATAGTATAGAGGAGGAACGGTGTCTTAACTTTAGCTGTCTCACAGAGGAGGTGCTCTTGTGGGGGCTGTAGGTATATGATAACAGGGCCCATGAAGTTATGTTCTTTATGAAATCAAAGTGCTACTTGAGATATACTGTACATATTGTCTCCAGACTTTGTGCATAACCGCTGTAGCGTTTCTATTCAGGCTCCTGACTGACTTGCCTTGAAGAGCTCTTTGGTGTGGAAGGGATCGCAAACGAGTTTCTCGATGTTCCCTCCGGCCAGGAATATGACGGTCACCACTCCCATCAGCACCCAGGAGAAGATGAAGCTAAATCCGACGCCGCTGTGGAGCAGAGCAGACACGACCTCAGGTACAGCAGAGGTACAGAACAATAAGAGATGGCAGGTGTAGCGGTAGCGGGACGGGGGGATTGGGGAGGTGCCCGTACGTTTCTGACACAGGAAGCAGTGTCAGCTTAGTGTAAAATGTAACTTAGACGTTGTATTTTAAAAGGAGCGGGAGTAATTACAGGATCAGTTTACTGCGGTTGACACACACACACACACACACACACACACACACACAGGATAAAAACCCGGACATTAATATACGCTGAGGTTTTTGGCCTTTGTATGAATCTTAAATATGGGAAACCAGTATTATACTGTGTGAATAGACGTATTTATTGTGTTTTACAAACAAGTTACGGTCTTCTTATGGGAACAGGTTCTGTCCCAATGAGAACTGTGTCAATTTGTTCAGGTATTATGTTGCATCTTCTTTGTTTGGATAAGGTTTCTTTAACAGGAGCACCTTTTAGACAAACTTCCCTCTTTAATACTCTGCATTGTTCTTCATGTATTTTATATGATTTCGATCACATGCTGTGGTCTTCTTTACCTCTGTAGAAGCACTGGAGCGTGTAAAGGTCTAGTGTTGTTGTTGTTGTTGTTGTTGTTGTTGTTATAATAGGAGAACAACCTCTTGCTGTGGCGCCACCGTCTTTGTTTTAGATCTTGAAACCCGCTGAGCTTGTCAGGTGCATTTTTTTTGACTTACGCCATGAGCATCGTTCCTCCCGTGTTGGAGATGCAGCCCCGCGTCGTGGGCGAGGCGTGCTTGTCGTATCCCAGGGTGCCACACAGCAGGCCTAGGTAGTTGAAGGCCAGGACCAGGACCACCATGCAGCAAAGAGCGATGCAGCCGATCCACCTGCAAACAGCAAAACAGCGAGAGCTTTCACCGAGCGGCTTAAAATAACACAAGTAGGACGATATGATCCTACACCACAGCCAAAGTGTCCTTGAGCAAGACAGTGAAGGACAAACCTGCTTACTCATTATAAGACAGCACATGAGCTGGATTTAAAAAAAAAAAAAAGCAATACAAAGCTTTTATAACAACTGATATATTATCTCGGGTTTCTCTCCACTGAGCTATTTTAAACTGAATTAATGTAGAAGCGATATGAATATTTCATAAATGGAAAATATTAGTTCAGGATAATATGGTACACATTAATTTTACAGTAGTTTGAAAAAAAGAGTCTGGTCAAGCCGTATATCATGAAGCTAAAAGCCAAGCATCAGACAGTGCATACATTATACCATTTACAAGTTTTACAGCATCTTGTTTCAGTAAGTGTCGTTTCTGGATTTAAAATTTGACTCTTATACGTTTTGCTTCACATAAGGAAACTACAGCTTGGCTGTTAGGAGGTCAGCGTACCTGTAGAAGTCCATTTTGTCAATTTCAGGGTAGTAGTCCTCAATCTTAGCATGGGCGTGGCTGATGAAGATGGTGAAGTTGGACAGGCTGCTCTGCACCGGGAACGCCTTGGAAAAGCTGCTGATGTTGTTGCCGATGCCGTCCACCAAATTCTGTACATCTGAGACACAGATCAATCGTTTAATCCATTTTTTTTTTTTTTCTCAATACTTTCAGTAACTGGTTGGTGTAAAAGATACAGGAAAAATAGATAAAGGCAGCAGCTGCACCAGGTAAAACTTTGAAACTGACACCACAATACATGGAGGAAAGATGGTAAACGTTATGACTCTGAGGTTGGTTGGGATTCAAACTTAAAGTCCACATAATCTTAGTAAAGTGAGTAAAAAAATCCCAGTGATTCATGTGCTCCATTAGTAAAGTAACACAAGCAGCAGGACTTATTCATTATTTGTGCTAAAAAAAAAAAAAGGTTTTAGGAGTGTAAAAAAATGTTGCTTACTCTCCACAACACTCCTGGTCTGTTCTATCACCATGTGTGGCGTGTCGTTCAGAGAGGAATAGCCCTGTGAGAGGAAAAGGAGCCAGTGTTAAAACATGGAGTCTCTTGGTAGATCTTGGTGCAGCAGTTGACTAACAAGCTGTGGCATGTTACATAACTCCTGGCAATGCTTTGACATCACAGGGGTATCTGCAGGCGAATGGTTCAGGCTCACCTTCTGGACGATGGCGCTGAGGTCCGTTCTCAATACATCGTTCATCTTCTCCATCTGAGCGTTCACTCTGGGCAGCTAAGATATATAAACAGGCAATGAGACACTGATAAACATACGCAATGTTGCAAGAGAAGGAAAGTTAGAGGAAAAAGCTGTTTCTTCTTTCAGCCGTCACACTTAATGGTGTGGAAACATTTGACTCTGCAGCGTGTTGTTAGAGAGTTGTTTGTAAAAGACTCTACAAACATTACATGTCAAGAGCATCGCCTCATTTTCAGTCACAGTTTATGACCAGCTGCACTTAAACCCTGATTTTTAACAGTCAAATCTTAACCCAAACATAAACTTTAGTGGTAGTTTCTCACACATATTTACTACCTTCCAAACACCTGCCAAAAAGACTGAAAACTGCCTCTTTCAAAGTGTGTTTTCACAGAACACCAGAGGAATATTTACGTTTGTGTCCACAGCTCGTAATCAGTATATCAGCATGTGTAGTGTTCGGTTTCTTACCCGCGTGAAGTTGGCGCTGATCTGCAGCTGGGACAGTGACTGGCGGATGTTGCGGCACAGCTGGGCAGTGGTGGCGTCCGACTCCTCGTCATGACAGCCGGGGTCGTTGAGGGTGCGGTTGATGCTGGTCCGGACCAGGCTCAGGTTGAAGTTGAGCTTCCCTGTTCCCTCCTGGAGGACCTCCAGAGACACACTGACGTTCTCCAGGGCCTCCTTGGTTTCTCGCATGGCTGTGTGCAAAGGGAAGAAGAAGAATTATGAAAAATGTATTAAGATCCTTTAGTTCTGTCCTGGCACGTTCTGTCTGAACTGTCTGTCGAACAGGAAGTGCATAAATGTTCAGAGCAGTAAAATAAGTTTTTGTCAGCTATGGAGCAAAAGTTTCCGGGGCATTTACATAAACATATTGTACATATTGATCGGTTATCTCTGAAAGTGACCCAGTGATTTAACTTATCAGATTTGCTTACAGTGTTAACATACACAGTAAAAGGACATATCCATTTAATGTCACACAAAAAGATAGACTCATACAGGACACGCTGTACTTATTGTAAGGACTAGGCCTGAGCCGAGTATAAAACACTGAGTTTCAGGTCTGTGTTTCAGGCCCTGGTACTTGGCATTTGAAGTGTGTTCATAAGCTGGTGTAACATCTAAAATGAGACGTTTGGCTGCCACGTCTCTTTGCAGAATAATGTGTATATGTAAGCTTCTTCTATAAAAAAAAATGTTCAGTAACTGACTCTTTGTGGATGCATCACAAGACAACAGCCGGTGTTGGTTAACAATCAGAGAGCAGCCTGCAGCAGACTTTTAAAATTAAACAGGATAAAGAATGCAAAAACACTGGCATCCTTGAATACTGGTATGAAAGATGCAAGAGTGTAGGGGAGGAAACAGTGAATTTACTATTGCATAGCTAAATGCTCAGCAGCACAGCAGGGAGTGAAGTGCTAACTTCATGAATATCATATTTACTTCTCCTCATCCATTAGTGGAAAAACACAGTGTATTTCTGAAACTACAAATCTTCGTCTTTCGCTTTCGTGCAGTTTTTCTACCCAGTGAAACACGTAATATCTGCACCAGAGAGTAAGGTTGTTACTCGGCTCAGACCTTAGTGGTAACACAATAGTACACAGACATTAGGAACACATTAGGAAATGCAGTCGTATCTGTGATCCGGCATTTTGCTGTTACAGTTGTTTTGTTTCTGATGTGCTACAAGCCTGTATATTCCATGTAGGCCCACATTCATATACAGCTGCTTGTTGTTATTCATGAAGTAAGTAAATGAAATAATACTTTGATAGTTAAATGTTCAAATGGTTGATTAATTTGAATGGGACTGCACTGTAAAAAAAAGTTAACCTAAAGTAACAGGACCGGTTACATAAAAGCATCATTTTTTATGTTGATTTCACACTGGGCAACACAACTGGAGTAGAAAGGGGAGATATCCAGGTACAGGATGATGTTGTGTTGCTGGGTTTTCGGTAAGATCTGGTGATGCCATTAACTTAAAACTGCACTAGGCAAGACTTTTTTTTTATTTTATGGAAATGTGAGAAGGGGAAAAAAAAACGAATCTAACTAAGTCTAATCAGAAAATGATCGGGTCTCCGAGTTAAAAATTCAGATTGAAGACACGACACTGATATCGTCTTACATCATGTTCTGGATTTGTCGGAGACATCTTTCTTCCATTCGTGGTCACCACAGAGTGAGAGGTTGCGAAGTGCAGTTTTAATGTATTAATTGGTTGTAACTCGTGGGGTGGGGGTGGGGATCAACGCAGGTGGCGTGTGGCTGTCCTGGCAGTTGGTCCCACTAGCTGCGATCCGGGGGGGTTGCGGGTGGCCTCCAGCGCTCAAGGGAGATCACAAGGGAACAAATCACAGGAAGCAACACCAGTGTCAAAGTTCACAGGGTCAGGGGGGTCAAAGGATTGTGGGTCATTGTTCAGGTACTGAGTTACTGTTACCTTTGATGGCTCTCTCGATTTTCACTTTACAAAAAAAGAAAGCATCGAAAGAAAATGCGAGGGGGAAAAAAAAAAACAAACTGAAAGATTATTACAAATAACATTTAAGCACAATTTACAGCTTATATTGTCTCAGTGAACCCGCAGGAAAAAGCTTGTGATGCATTATACTCTGTAGTGTAGCCTGTGTTCAGTGGCTTCCAGCCTACAGTAACCTGATCGTATCGTAACTGAAAGAGGAAATTAAAAGTGAGCCGATGTACCTCCAGCCATATTGAGCACTCGGTCCAAGGCAGGATGGACCTCCTTATCCAGCTGATCATGTATCCTTCCACCCAGCAGTGGGCCTATATCTGTAGAGAAGACAGCGTCAGATCAACAGGGAAAAGAAGTAAAATAGTGCAAGTCACTCTTTTTATTATGATACTGCTGCCTTTTTGCGCCGCATCCCCCGGTTTTGCTCTTTATCCAGCCGTCTGAACTTGATATCTAATATTTGTCCGTATAGAGAGACACAATATTTGTGTTTCATAGTAGCAGCGCAGCTTTTTATAAGTCTTAACTTCTAGGAAAGAGCTGCCTGCGTTTCTAACACGGGAGGAAAGTAGGATGAGTACTCCAGAGATCCTTAATAACAGTCACTGCTGGAGCTGTGTAGACCTAGTTATGTCACAAATCTGTTGTGAGAACAAGTCATAGAAAGTAGACACAGTAAGTTCAGACAATCAGCATAATATACAGCCAAGAGCAAGAGCCCAGGGAATATTTTCTGTCCACTCAGTTCACTGTCAAGGACAAAGAGACGGTCTACTTACGATTTAGGTCATAGATGACTTTTTTCTTGGCTGTGGCGTATTGGGATATTAGGTAATCAATTTGCTGCAAACAGGAAACACAACAGAGCAGAGCAGTTTTGCAGATGGTAGCACACAGAAAATGAGTTTATTAGTCTAGTCATAGACACTAACAGCAGTGCGGAGTAACACATTTTCAGTGTTTATATTGTTTGCCATAAGGCAGGGCTTCATTTACATTTAATGTTTAATAAACTGAGAATGCGGTGGGAGGATTTTTTTTATTCTCGAATCGTCACCAAATAACAACCTGAAGAGTGAAGGTCTGGGCCTCGGAAATTTCATGGTTGGAGAATGATGTTTTAGAAAAGCAAATTTGTAGCTGTCGCACGCACAAAAGGTGAGAAAATTGTCTTTTCTCAGCTTGAAAGGATTACGTGAAGGAGGCATGACTAGAAACAAGAAGCAGTCTTGACACAGAGAGCCACACACACACTGCCTTATACATTGGCCTTCAGATCTAACACCCTCAGATATAAAGAATATTTGTCATTTGAATTAATTTTAAATTTCAACCATGACTGAACCTTCGTGCCGTCACGCTCTGTCCAGATTATTTCATTGTCTTAAATTTAGCTGGTAGCTGCCCTTTTCATATAGTTTGAAATCAGGTGCCCGTATTGTTACATAATTTAATCCCTAGGACTGTTACACAATATGTTTTGATCACATTTGTTTTGACAACACACACAGTCATATTGTGTTCAAACGAAGACAACACAGAGCGGAGCGGTTGTGCTCGAACTCATACGTGCTGCAACTCTCCCGTCTCACCATCGGTGTGTCGTTAGCAAAGGTGTGCAAGTCCCTCATGTTGCTGTTGACCAGTCTGCGTATGTTCTTCACCTGAGAGCTCAGGTTCTGGTTGGCAGCGTACGCGCACAGCACCCCGATCCTACAGACACACGAGAAACACAAACACCGTGACCTTTCTGTTAACCGAGTGAGCTTTTCTGCTCCTGCATCAGTCAGAGCAGTGGCCCCGGGCTGTGTTTTACAGAGCCAGGTGATAGCATGTCATTAACAGTAGGGGTCAGTATGCACCACCACATTCACTTTGACAGTTCCCATGTTGAATGAGCAGTGGTACTCAAATCTCTCATTTAAGTACAAGTACCACTACAACAGTGTATAAATACGCTGATACAAGTTAAAGTCCTGCATTCAAAATTGCAAAAGTATTACCATCAAAAAATACTTAAAGTACCGAAGGTGAACGCACTTACTATGCAGAATGGTCTATTTCAGAATAATGTGTTATGTTACTGGATTATAAGCACTCAAGCATAAATCATGCATCTGTAATCATACATCATAATGTATTTGTTGATTATATTTTGAAATATTAATAACAATTACTACAACTGTCAGAGCAAAAAGGACAATATTTGCCTCAAAATTACACTTAAGTAAATTAACTTAGTAACTTTCCAACTCTGAGAATGAGCTTAATTTTCTTGACAACCTGCACTACACAGAACTATTCTTGTAATGTGTATAATATAGGCTATAGTGTATTTTATGGTGTTTTTTGAGATAATAAGAGATTTAAAAAAAAAAAAAGTAATTTCCCAAGCAATTTGGAAACTGAGCTCATAGCAGGAAATGCAGGTGTATCTAGATTAAGCTCTGAGGCCCTATCTGTATAATCTAAGGTCCCTGGGTTGTAAACATATTCAAATTAAATGCGAAAACACCAAACTGCATAAAGCAGACCATTAAAGTGAGTCTCTTGCATACTTCAAACAGACCTGAGTAGCTCGGTACGAGGCTTAATTAGCTTCAGCAACATCAAGGGAAAGACAGCCCATAATATTAAGCCGTTTCCATGACTCACTCTCATCCCAGCTGAATTTTCTGCTCAGCACCTCACAGCCGGCACCACACGTATTAAGCGTGTGCATGTATGTTTTTACTGCTGCACGGATCTGAGCATGGTTAAGGATTCGTTTTGGTGATCAACTTAAGAACACATGGTCAAAGTGAAGGATCAAAAAGAAAACTCCTGACAGCACAGTTGTGTAACACACGGACTCTCATCTGTGGCAATGCTTCAGTAGAATAAGCAGCTTTATGAATGATGTAATATGACTCGCAGAAAGGAATAACAAAAGGACTGACTCAGAAGCCACTGGGAAGGTTTAGATCAATGGAGATGAATCAGGCCGTTGTGAGTCACTGCATAATAAGGCAGGGAGTCTCTGTGTATCTGCGGAGGTACGCACAGCAGATTGTGTGTATGTATGTGACTGCAGTGCGTGCAAAGTGAGGTTATGCTCCATTCATCATCTTATTGTTAATGCATGAGGAAGGTGTGTGTGTGTGTGTGTATGTGTGTGTGTAGTTCATCTTTACAGTCCTGTGATCTGCAGTCGCTGCTGTAGTCACAGTCTCGCTTTGTGGTTATAATCCTGTTAATCTAGTCTAATCTAACCTGCATTATGCAGCAGACATTTTGTCACATTAGGAATTTCACAGTGTGTTTATGCCCTAAGAATCCAATATGTCAGACACTTTCTCTTTTCAAGAATCACAGTGCACGTATTATAAACCGTCAACTTAGTGAGTCTCTTCTTACTTTGTTGAATGTTTACAACATAGTTTGCCAGTTTGGAGTAGAACCGAGTGGGGTTTATTTTTATCTATTAATCGATGAAATAATCTGTAAAGAAAAGTGCCTTTAGGTCATTTCTGTTATGATTCAGCACCATATAAATACGACTGAATTGAAAATTTACTTTAAAGTTAAACTGCACAGGCAGGACATTCACATTATTACATGAAATAACATAAAACTGAGGAAAACAGCAAATTGTTAAACTGTAGTTTGAGTCTGTAAACTCTGACTGTTTTGGACTTTAACAATCATCATCATTTCTGTTCATTAATTTTCTTTAAACTTTGAAATTGAAATGCTGCATCTGCCAACGTGTTTTAATTCATGCCAGTGTAGCACGAAAAATCAGTGAGTAGAAAGTTGCTTTTAAAAACACAATCACAATCGGCCTCGGAGGAAACGAGAAGCCGCTGTGTCAGTGCTGCTGCTCCTTTGCTTGGAAAATTCATTTGTGAGTTGAGTGAGTGAGTTTTTGGAACAATGCTCCAGTGTCCAGGTTTTGAGAGGAAGCTGCGTTGACAAGTCAAGTCAAGCTGTCAGAAAATTAAACCCAGAAAACAAAAAAAAGTTAGGAGTTAGAAAACGGTTGTCTCACATGTAAAGTGTTTAATAACCTGAAACATAATCACTGGCACGATCCTCGCAGAACAAATATGTTACGGGCTCCTGCGCTGCCCCGTCGCACCGTGTCTGCTGGAGGAATTGCCACGATGTTTTGCCATAAATAGAGAGTGGGCTGACAGAGTAAACACTGTCGTCACATAAGTGGAGACTTAATGAGAAACTAGGCCAAACAACTAGGCGGGGACACAGTGAAGTGGAGCCATCCAGAACCGGGGGAAGATTCAAAATGGCCACTTTCACAACAAAAGCCTTTTGTCCGACACTTTCTCTGCCCTCTCGCTGTCTCTCCTCTCTCTCTCTCCCTCTCTCTCTCACTCTCACTCTCTTACACAAGTACACAACTCCACACATTACGCTGTATTTAACTCTTTTACATGCAGAAAGACTCACACCTTCCCCGTCTCTAGTTGTGTGTCTTAATCACCAGAGCCCATATTGTCCTCTGTCTCTCTCGCCCTCTCTCATTTGTCTTTCTGCTCCGACTCGTCTGTTTTGATCTACGTCTCTTCCACTACACTTCTATTTCTCAGTCTGCCTTGCTCAGACTTTTTCATTGTTTCCCTCTCTCACTACAACACTCTCATTTTCCTACAGCACTTTCTCTATCCTTCTTTTCTCTTCTTCTGTCTCATCCTTTGCCCTCAGTTCCCTCTCTCCTCTCCGCCTCCCTCTCTTTTTCTTTGTCTCTCGCTCACTCCCTCTCCCCGCTGGTGTCCGGCAAGGTCGCTGGAATCTGCAGCCAAACAAAGACTCTTTGAGGAGAAACGGTCGAAGCGCTCTTCCCAACGAGCCGTGGAGTACATAACCCGACCGCCTCTTACTTCAGCAAAATCAAGTCTGGCTTAGTTCGAGCTCGGCCGTCTGGTTCAGTTCTAGATTAGATTTGTTATCTGAGAAATGATGAAACGAAATCAGGATATAAAACAAGAAGAAGAAGAAAGAAGAGAAGAAAATACATGTTTGTCTTGGAAAGCAAAATGATCAAACAAACAACAAACTCACGGTGACAAGCGAGGCATGCCAGAGCTGGATAACAGAAAATAGATGAGCGCCGCTGAAGAGTGAATTTATGACAAAACGTTTTTATTTCTCTCTCTCTCTCTCTCTCTCTCTGATGAACGGCAGAGTTTGAATCCAGGCAACAGGAGGTGCAGGTCCCCCAGTGGGCCGATGACTACCAGGACGTCACCTCCATTCTACCTTAAATTTAACAGTGTCTGAAATGTCACATGCGATAGAGAAATATTCCAGTCTGTTCCGCTGAATAGTTCTTTTTAATGAGCATCGTCGTGAAAACTCACTTGAGTGTAGTATGTAAAAAAAAAAAAAAGACTCATAAATTTTGCATGACAGCAGCAAAGATTTAAATTAAGGGAAAAAGTGAAGTTCAGGCATTAAATACATAAAATATAACTTTTCACCGGCGAACACGTACTGACAAATCGAAGGGGTTTCCTCCTCAAATGTCAATGTTTTCTTTAAAAACTTTACTCCAAAGTAAAGCTATGACGCCTCGCTTCGTTACTGATTAATCTGCTGTTAATTCTAATTGATTATTCATTCAGTATTAAATGTCAAAAAGCGGTGAAAAAAAAAAACAACCATCACAACTGCGCAGAGCCCAAAGTTACATCCTTAAATTGCTTAATTTTTCTGACCAATGGTCCGAAGCCCAAAGATATTTCACTTACTATCAAGATAAAACAAAGACGAGCCGTAAATCTTCACATTTGAGAAGCTTAAACCAGCAATTTTTTGGCTTTTTTTCCCCTTCAAATACTTTTTGATTTACTGAACCGTCCTTGTTCCCGACATATTGAATAGTAATTTTCAGGTTGCAGCTGCTTTTTAAAATCCCCACTGGCCTTTTTAAAAAATGTCATTCATCAATTCACCTGCACAGTTTGAGCGAACGGGCCACTGTAGTCTGTCCCGCTGTTTCATCATGTTTCTCTGTTATCAGCAACACCGAAACCGACCCGCCAGCTCAGACTGTGGCTAATGACTGGATGGGCCGTATTGGCTGCTTGTTGATAGTGCGGCTCTTATTGACCACGGGGGACAATTCACAAACACAGCGGGAGGAAGATTTACCTCTAGCAACTTTGAGGGGGTGGGGGGGGGAGAAAAGGGCTGTAATTCCTGTTTGAGCGAAAGCCAAATGACACATGAAACTCTCCCTCAGGGTGGAAACCCCACAACAGCAGCTGAAGAAGAGCATCGAACTAGTGCAGCGCCCCAGAATCTAGGCCACTACTGGGGGCTGGGTAGTGAGTGTTACATGGTCTGGTGGCTCCATAGCTTTTACAAACTCCCAACAATGGCCTGCATTCAGTGTGATTGTAGTTGCGAGGCTGGGACAGTCGCCCCCCCCCCCAACCCCCTCCCTGCTTTCACACTGCTGGAACTGGACCTCTATTATCCCGTCTCTCAATAACAAAATCACAACTGTAGTCACTGTCCTGACCTCAAACAAATAATATTACTAATTATTTAAAAACCTGTTGATTACATATTATTAGCAACATTGCAAAGTCTGCAAAATTAGACCTTTTAGTGTAAACGACGGAGTCAAACAAGGCATGTTAAATGTATAAGGGAATATTCTATATGGAATATTAAATAATAATAATGATAATAATGAGCTCTGACCG